ACCAAAAGTCCTCCCATGGTCCCTGAAACCTCACCGGCCTGCTGCATCCTCTGCTTCATAGAGCAATGGACTCAGGTCCACCTCTCTCCAACTAGACTGACCCTTGGCAGTTCCACAAGGCCCAGCATAAAGGCATACAGAGATAGAGTCCAATAAATGTTGGCTAAATAAATGAATGAATATTAGAATGAGGTTTGTAGGAAATGGCCAACCATTCCAACCCAGAAGAGGATCATGATTTCTTGAATATCATCAAAGTAAGCTCAGTCTTTACCTCCGTGAAGTGCTGACAAGCTGACCCAAAGGGGATAGACACTTCACAGATCATCATAGCATGTGACCAGGTGCCATGGAAGTATGGATGCCCTTGGATGGCGGGCCTTGCTATCTGGAGACAATGCCCAGGGCTTGTGCATCTGTTCAGCAGGATCCCAGCCCAGCCCAGTAGGATTCTGGGCAGCACCTGGCTGTCCTGCCAGGGTGTCCCTGAGGCACACACACACTCACACTCCCCCAGTACAGGGGCGCTTTGCCTTTTTTATTTTCCCCTGTGAAACTTACGGCAGCGCATCGGGCGATGACAAACGACCCAAAAAATCAATGTGTAATCTGATTTGAGGTTTTTGATTTCCTCTGATGAGTTTAAGTTTCATTAAAAGCAACCTTATTCAAACATGAAAGAAATCCTTGAAGGGTAAAACAGGGAATTGTCTCAATGAGTATAAAGCCTGCGAACCCTTTTGTGCGGTTTATTCAGTACATTAATTGTGGGGACCAACATGTGGTGTCGGTTGGCAGATGCCCGCTTATCAGGCCCCAGGATCGGTCTGAGGAGGGGGACGGCCTGAGAGCTCACATTCAAAAATCCTTCTTTGGCATATCGACACTTCAGTTATCAACAGCCCTTATCATCTCCTTAGACCTCCATCCCAGGCTGCTGCAGGCCACATATTAAGCTACAAATCAGGGGGCCTGCCTCTGCATTCTCTTAATTGGATGTATTCTCTAGAAAAAATGATCATGAGGGCCTCTTGTCCTGATGAGAAATTGACATTTTCTGACTGATTATTTGGAAGCTCTCTGTGAGGTAGATAAGGCGTTGAGTTGTTTTAAAGAAGGACAGCCATTCTTTGCGGGCCTTTTTATTGGTCTAGTTGACCCACTTGATGAGTATGGATTTCATGAGGTCTTTTTCAGCATTTGAACTATAAAAGGTTCAGAATGACACCACCCCTTATAGACAAAAGATAACCTTGCCCTTTGAATATATTGATTCTTTATTAACTAGGCTGTTTAATGCAATGAAATGAGGCATTAGATTGAAGCCCATTCCAAGTGCTTTGAATAATCTTTAAAAGCTTCAAAGACTTGAAAAGGCTGCTCGACAGTAATTGGCGGATATTTTTAGAGACTCCACTTCTTGCTTGCGATTAGAAACACAAAGATAAAATAATTTCCAGAAGCCTGTGGCCACAGCTGGCACACTTTTTCTCACCCGAGCTCTTCTTAGGCTATAGACACTTGGCATGTCAGAGGTGGGTAGACATTGCTAGGATCTGCCATCCCCAGCAAGAAATGGGCATTTCTCCTTTTGTATTTTTTTTTCCTCCATTGAGAATCTGGCTAATCGTCCAGCTCCTCCTCATTATACAGACCTTTGCAAACAGACCCAGAAGGAAGAGTGGGCCAGCATCCTTTGAGCCCCCTTGAGTAAGGGGGAGGGGGACGAGCCAGGCTGACTGCCTTCAGCCTGCTCCAGGGCTACCCACTCACAATGAAGAGATGGTAAATGGGGGAGAGAGGGGGAAAAGGTATTTGCAAGTCCCTTTCTGTTTTGAATAACTGTTTCCTGTTTTGCTCAGCAGAACAAGTAATTAAGATGACATTTGTGAACACTAATTTAGATCACACTCATGTGTCTGTGCTACAGAGCTTCAAGCCAAAACATGCAAAGTCAATCTCTCGTTTGGTGGAAAATGAAAAAAGAATCTGAATGGCAATAGAAACGTGAGCACATAGAACTCATACACGCTGAACGTGGGCACGTACATGAGAAAGCCCACCCTCCTGGCACAGCTCCTTACAAGCAGCATGTCCATGCAGACAGGAGGAGCCGCCAGGAGCCCTGTGCCTTCTGCAATGACTCCTGAGTTCACAGGGTGAGAAGGCTTTGGGAAGCTATCTCCAGTTAGAGCCAAGCTGATCAATGCACCCTAGCTTTGGTCACCAGCAGATTCCCCCCGCCCTCACCTGGTCCCTGCCCTGTGTCGTTCATGGCCTCTGCTGCAGCCACGTCTTCTGCGCGTGTTAAGATTTAGGGAACAAGAGTCCAATGAGGGCATCGAGGGGAGAAGCCAAGATGTTTGCTCATGGGGGTCACCTTGGGGGAAGAGGTGGCGGCACGTGGGTCCGCCATGCTTTCAAAGCTCCCTCCCACCTTTCAAACTCAGGGATTCCAGGATCTTTTTTAGCCTATTCTCATTCTGACTGTTATTTAAATGTTCAGGTAGGCCTCATCATTCATCTGTTTGTTTTTACAGAAATGAGGAGAGTAACAATAGGTCGAGATATTCTATAGCCAGAACATTCCCAGTATATATGCATGTATGTGTATCTCCATCCTGCCATGTAAAACATGGACGGCCAACAGATTGAGTAATAAAAAAAAAAAAATCTTTCCCCTTGGTATTGACAGCATGTCTACAAGGCAGGTAAGAAAAGGGCTGGAGGATTGATAACTTTGGGGAAGGTCATTCTCTGAATCTTATCTAAGCCCAGGCATGGCTCTGGGCTCCATCTTTTACAAATGAAAGCCCCGATGCGTGTGGGTTCTTGGTGTTTTGTCAGACATTTTTAATAAGCAAAACCAGATAAAAGCACTAAAAGTGAAATTCACAGACAAGAAATACTTTAATTAAATATTGTGTAAAATGAACATTTTTATACAGTTAAATATCTGAAAAAATGTACAGATAAAACAATCTTATTGTAGGGTCTTTAACAGGAAAATCTACCATTTAGTGAAGCGTTCAGTTTGGAGACAAGGAAGCGATGGTGCGCTGACTAAGTCATCTAGAACACAAACAGATTGCCGCAGTGATGAGGAAACTGGCAAACTTTCTCAACATGTACATGGGACCTCTTTTTTATTTTTTTAAGATCAAAACCTTTACTTAGACAAAATAAAACTGAGGCAATTCAGTTCCAAAGTGACTTCTCAGGCTTTTCCACTTAGCTAAGCCTTAGGAGTGATCACAGCATAGACGTGTGGAGTGCACGAGAATGCCGTGATGTACTGTCTCGTTTGTTTTTGTACTCCCTTTAGTAAACATGTTACTAAAATGTGCATTTTTGTCCAGAAAGAAAAAAAAAAGTCCCTCCTTTTTTGTTGGAAATTTGAATTCTGCTGCATTTGCAAAGCATTTAGTGCAAAGAAAAACAAATTGACTTTTTGGAACCACTATGGATTTGGCACGAGGAGGCACAATATATTCAGGAGGTCATTCCAGTTTAAAAAGTCCAGCCATCGCTGTTGGGTCATACTACAAAAATGTTCCGTAAAAAAAAAAAAATGTATATAAAAATTATGTATACCCTTGGCTTCCTCCGAAACCACAGCTAGGAAGGAGGACGGGGGGAAGGGGCAAGAGGGTGCATATCGCAGCAGAAACGGACACACACGGGAGTGACAGGACTGAACACCAGGTTTGTGCTTTTTCTTTTTCTTTTTTTTTTTTTTAACGCAGTAAATCATTCCAAATGAAGTTGTGGTTAACAACTGTGGTGTAAGCCCATGATACAACAGCACAAAGATTCGTCAGAGAAGTCCACTTTTAAGGCATCAGAGAAGTTAATGTGGCAAACATTGGAATTAAAACATCAGAAGTAAATTTTATTTTAAACTTTAGGCCTCTGAATTTTTCCAGTAAACACAGTTCAGCTATGTGGCAAAGTCATGGGTGGCAGCTAAAAGTGACTTTTTACATTCTACAGAAAAAGAAAAGAAAAGAATTAGGACAGCCACAAGTGGGAGCCCCCTGGGGAGCCCCCCACACGGCTGCATCACATGCACGTAGTCTACGAGTATCCATCACAGCCAGCTGGCACGACTTTGTTTTGACTATACAACAAAGAACTTTTTCCCCAAAATTATTTGTTCAGATAACTTAAAAATAATATAAAAATAAACAATGAATTTTGACTTTTCCTCAAAATAAAAAAAAAATGGATGGAAAGTCTAAACAAGAGCGAGAGTTGGGCAGCAGAAATAAAACATGAAAATGCTGAGGAGACCAGCATCTGTTCTTGGCTTAATGCTGAGCACCTTCAGCATCACAACACCGGGCCAGGATGAAAACAATCCACACGGGAAGAAATCAAGGATGGGCAAAGCAATGTACAAAATTTCAAAGATAAATACAATATTTATAATTGATATGTTACAAAATAAAGTCCCTTCGTGACTGCAAGTGTGTACGTGAGAGGAACGGTTACGATGGAGGAGACAGCTTTACTCCTTATCAGGCCCATAAGGAATAAAACGTGCTTTTCTAAATAGTTAAGTGGGTTTGAAAAAAATTCAAGACAAGTGTATAAATATTTAGCTACAACTTTGGCAAAATCACAAAAGTCTACCATTTTATAACCACATACAAAACACATTAGGGAAGAAGGACCTAGAAGTCAAAAGGACAATTTTCTGGTACAAGAAACAGACTCCACAGTAGTAGCCTAAGAATGCAACAGTTTTATACAGGGCTAGCAAAAGTTGAAAAAATGTGGCTGATCACGCTTGCTTAACAGGAAGCTCTAGCAGTGGAAGTATATTTGAACCAACAGACGACAGCGGCCCTTTCTTCTGTCAGTGTGCTCATCAAAGGCAAGAAAGTTCAATATCAAAGTTACAATCGCTAACTACAATAAGTTACAAAGTTTCATTTCATTTCATTAAGATGAAGTTAAGCAATGGCAAACCCTCCCTCCCTCCCGGCCACCCCCAATTCCTCCTAATCGTATAGTCATCCTTTTTTTCGTTTTTCCAGTTTGATGGCTCATACCTCCTTGGCCCCCTTTTTTCACCACAAAAAAATATTTCACATTATAGAGCTACACAACCATCGTGAATTGAGTGATGAGGACAGCAAAATGTTCTGAGGCATTTTTCATTAGTGTTTCATGAAAACCCCGAATGGTGCATCCACAAAGTTTCTCCCCACACAGAGCAAGTACGAGACAGAGCCAAGACGGAATTGGAAACTTTATACAAAATAGGGGTTGCTTTGTTTTTTGTTTTTCTCCTTATTCTTCAGAACTGAGAAATGTGAAAAGATGAGAAAAGTTCAGTCAATAAATGGAATTGTTTGTGAAGAAGTAGGTTGTTTGCATGTCGATTCTTAAGAGTTTAAATAAAATCTTTAAACAAAGTCTTTTTCTGTAGCATTTCAATTGGTGCTGATTTGTCTTGAAGATACTGTTTCCATCAGCATGTCTTAATATACTAAACTTGTCCCCTGAAGCCCGTCCTTCAATGCTTGATGCTACGTAGGTAAACAAAAGTGACCTTACATGGGAGGGACCACCAACCCAGACATAGCTGAAAGAGAAACAGAGACAAGAGACAAAAGCACACGTTGTCATTAATGGAAAGGACCAGATAAAGCAGGTACGCTCCGAGGGGGTCAGGGGACAAGACGGAGCCGCAGCATGTTCTCATCTCACTGTGGTGAGACTTGTATGCAGGCACAAGGGCTGCTCCTCTCCCCCTAGCTGGTAGAATGCTGGACTCAGGGTCAGGAAAACAGGTTCAGATCTCATCTCGGATACTAGCTGTTTGCCCCTGGGCAAGTCACATAGCCCTTCTCAGACTTAGTGTGTTCACCTGCAAAGTGGAAATAATGATAATACCTACCTTACAGAGCTATTAGAGGTTAGACCAGATAATAACTGCAAAGTGCTTTGGAAACCTTAAAGCACTTGATATACTTGAGTGTTTACTATTATCATCATAAGTATCCATTTGGTAAAGAGATACTAGGTCGAGGGACAGCTGGAGGTGCTGCTGGCACAAAGTTTCTCTCTCACCCATGAGTTGGGCATCCACATGGGCATGGGGCATGGGGGAAATCCAGGGAAGGGCCCCTTCTAAGACCATGGCCCCCAAAGACTTCTCTCCTGATCAGAAGAGGATGGTGACATTTTTTGGGGTACAGGCATCCTGCTTCCTCCCACACATGTGACATTTCTGTTAGCATTTTGTTAATGGCAAACAGAGGCCCAGACTCCCCAGGGACTGCTTCTGTTGACAGCTGAGAAACAGCACGGTCACTTCTGGTAATGTCAGACAAGGCCAGCTTCCTTTGCCCAGCAAGGACCGGACCACTTCTCAAGTTTCCAAATCAAAATCAGCCTAACCTCAGTTTCTCTCCACTCTCCCCTGACAGCTCCCCTCCCCCTGACCAAGTCAGCCTTAAGTGGCAATTTTGACATTGTTAATTGTCCTTTCTTATAATGACTGTTCAGTTCCCTGAATCAAGGACTCTGAAAGATCAAGGCCAAGGACAGGCCACACACCTGCCTTGGAATCCACGGACCCACGTGAGGAAAGAGGTGACATTAGCATCTCTAGTGCTGTCTCTCTCTCTCTCTCTCTCTCTCCCTCTCTTTCTCTCTCTCTCTTAAATAAACAAACACTTATGGATTGAAATGCCAAGTGCCCCTGATTCTTTCGAGTTAACCGCTTGGTAGGAATGTAATTTAGAGTGTCTTAACTTCAGTGTGGTTTAATTTTTGTCAGAATGATATTTCTCATTAATTTATGCATACCAGATATTAATACACTTGTTCGTGTAGCGATGTGGGCTTCAATTTCTCAGTTCATTAATTTCAACAATATTAATTTATTTCAGACTCACCGTTACAACTCATGTATGTACACACTCCTGATGTGATCCCATCAGCAAGCACTAAGGTGGTGAGGTAGTGATGGGATTGAGGGCTCAGGGTGATGTGGGCTGCCTGCCATGGAGCTGGGATGGCTCAGAAAGCTTCTTCCTAACCTCCATTAAGCTTTCCTAATGCTCTATCAGGAACCGGGAAAATTGGATCCTTTCAAAGCCCTGAGAATGTTCAGGCCCCTCTTCTCCCTTCCCAACTTTTTCTAAACTGTTTTTTTTTTAAAAGAAGATATAACAGTGTCCTGGAAAGTGGCAACCAGGTCAGACTGGCTTTCCATCTGGAGGAACACATTCCAAGAGTGGATTCCGATGATGTCACTTGTCACTAAGGGCTTGGTGAAGATGAAAATCCTAATACAGGAATTCTCTGTGCTTGCCAGGCACCTCTGACATGGGGGCTGTAGGCAACCCGTAGCAAATGCCCATTAAAAGTGTTGCATTCCATAAAGGGACGAAGCCATGGCAAGGGGAGGCAAGCACGGAGCTGGGAGCATGGGAACCATTCTTGGAGAGAAGGAAGGTCTGGCCACAGCCTCTCTCCCAGCTGTCACCTAAATCCAGCCCCAATTGTTCAGCTGCCACTCGAGCCCATCTTAAATGCAACCCTGAAATGGCAAGGCTGGGATGGAGCCGATGGTGGGGTCTGTGTTGGCCACTGCCAGGAATGACCAGTTCTTCCCAAGCCTTATGGATTCTAAAGTCCGCTGTTACCAAAAAAAAAAAAAAAAAAAAAGATTCTCGCTAGCATCTGCCAAAACCTACAACCACAATAGTTAGGTGATTTTGGCTCTATTAGATCTGCAGGGATGACTGGCCTGACTTCATGACTTTTTTGCCTTCCTGAGAGAAGGGGAGATGCCTTGGAAGGAGTCTAGCTAAGCTCTGGGCCCTCCTAGACTATCTGTTGCCTAGGGTAGCAACAGATGTGGCCAGGGGACAATATGTGCAGCTCTCTGGACCAATCAATGCATACCCTTCCCTGGTATGTGGGCAGAGAGGGCCCCTTTGCAGCCTTGGTCTCTGATGCCATGAAAACGATCCTCAACACCCTCCCCTAAAGAATATTTCAGAGGCCACGCGAATAACAGCAACCAGAGTAGTTTGAGTTGGGGGGGGAGGGAAAAAGGCTTCTGGCCCTTTACTGTTCTTGCAAGTGGGCGGAGGGATAAAGCTGGAAGTGCCATTCACTGCTGAGAGATCAGTAAGGTGTCACCTTCTAGCCTGCTGCCAGTCACTCTCAAACTGGACACAACTGATGACATGGGCAGTAGCTTGCACCCAATTTCATCTGTTTAAAATGGCAATACTGAAAACAAGCTTTGGTGTTTGACCCATTGGGGAAGGGGGAAATGTCATGCCACTGAATTGTTCGAGCTGAGAATGCCCCGAATTCTGGACAGATGCCCTCCTGAGCTCCTGTGCCTTGGGAGCAGGATGTTGCCCTGCCATGTCGGGGGCAGATGTGCCTGTTTCGGTAACTAACATCCATAATGGTCTCAACCATCCTTCAACTGTGGTTTCTTCATGGGATCTTTCAAATGTTTTGATAGGAAAAAAAAAGTCAGAACCTTGCATCCACTGAACCAAAACAAACCAGAAGGATTAATTGTATGTATAAGAATTAAAATAAGGACTATAGACATGCCAGAGATAGAAGAGACCTAAGAAACTGTCGAGTCCAACGTCCTCGTTTTATAGATGAGGAAACTGAGGCACAGAGAGGTTCAGTGATTTGCCCAAGGTCATGTAGCTAGGAAGTGTCCAAGGATTGTAGAACTATGAGATCATAGAAATGGAGATGAAAGAGACTTTGGAGGTCACAGGCAGTCAAAGAGGGGATCGGAACTCAGGTCTTTCTGATGCTAAATCTAGCATGTTATCCCCTACACCGTGCAATACGTCACTGCTGGAATATTAGTGGCGGCAGTGGCAGTAAGGCAATGCACTATGGGAGGGAGCAGAGGGTGCTAGGGGATTAGATTTAGAGTCGTGACCGGGGTTCACATTCCGGCCTCATCACTTACTACCTGTTACGTTGGGCAAGCCTCAGTCTCCTCATCTGAAAAATGAGGGGGTTGAACCAGATGGTCTCTGAGGTCCCTTCCAGCCCTCAAGCGATGATCCGTGGAGCTTCTGAGACACAGTTCAGTGACAAATCCAGCTTTGTTTCGAAACAGAAGATGTAAAAACTCAAGAGGCAGCATCGGGTGAAAAGTTCACTTGTGCTCTCTGACTCCAAAAACATGGAAGTGGCTAGCTTTTAAGATGTCCCCGGGTTGACTTGTTCTGTCTCCCTCATTTCGTTCTAGACCATGGCCATGCCGTCTGATACCCTTGGACAGCACCCAATCACCCACGAATGGAATGAAGCCAACCCCCCACCCTCCTGGCAGAGACGTCTCCCAGAGCCCCCACTCACCTTGAAGCCCATTCCCGTTTGCACTGGTGCACGATGGCGGAGGAGAAGCTTGGGGCCTGACGACTGGAGCAAAGGCGCTCTTTTGTTTCACTGCAGAGATGACATTGGCAGGTGAGAATGAGAAAATGCCGTGCGTACTGCTACAGTTTGAAGGGAGGGTGACCGAAGAGGCTGCCATGGTAGGGCTTGACGGTACTACTGCAACAAAGCAAAGAGAATCAGGACTCAGCTTGAGGTCTGTGTGCGGCAAACACGGACAAAGAGAGTCATATAAGGCCTCGCCCGCCTCTTAAGAGATCGAGAAAAGGAAACGGGAAAAAACACGACACTTTCTTGGCTTGGCCACTCTCTGGATAACAGGTAAACTCTTTGGTGTTGGACTTTGGTTACAAATTGCGCAGCCCAATTCTTTGGTTTGGTTTGGTTTGGTTGGTTTGGTGTTATGCGACCACATTGGGTAGAACGCATTGGAGATCAATTTCGTAGAGCCATTTTTTTATGTCCAGCCTCCAGAGTCACCCCCTCCTTTTATCCAGTAGCTCACGTCATAGAAAAATCAAGACAAGGCAAGTGTTGGGATTTGGTAGGAAAAATGAATCTGCATGATGATGCGTTACAAAAACAGACACTTACTGCCATAAGGAGAGTTAGCTGAGGAGCCATTTAGAAATCCGGGAGAGCCAGGGACGCCTAGATTGGGCATGCCGGCATTTCCATATCCATTCATGCTATTGCTGACTGTGTTGTAATTGGACTGCTGGGGTGTACTGCTGGGAACGTATCCTCGCGGGGAAACACTGCTTGTATTGCGGCTGTAGCCTACTGTTAAGAGCCACCCCCCCACAAAAATCACGTTATTATTGGTAATACGCACTTGGGGGGGGGTTTCCCCGCGAACCTACACCACAGAGTAGACATTTTTAATTGATCGTACCGCCTTCTTACTGCACTATCAGCCCTCACAGCTGAAGATAACCTTATCACGCCAACCCTGCCTAAAGTTGTCTCTCCTCGGGCTGAGACAGTCAACCAAAGCTCTCTTCGATCCAGTTGTGTCAGGTGCCTTCACGTTTATCTTTCGTAGCAATTATCAACAGGCTTGATTCCTGGTTTGTGCCAACACACCGGATGAACTTTCAGCCCTCCCAGACCTTCAAATGCCATCGCTGACAGGAAAAAACTTGTTTGTTCCAGGGATCCTGCCTTAAAAGGTTGTTTTGGGGTCTTCATTCTAATGGTTGATATTTTTATCGCAAGGCTGGTAAGCACATATTTCATTAAGGGTAGCAGGAGTAAAAATGGTAGCAGGCCTGCTGACCCCAAGGGGGATAACTAACTTCACGGGGACCATGGCTATCGGATGCCACCTGAGGCGTGTAGGGAGCGGGGAGGGGGAAGGACGATACAATGCTTGGTGTCCGCAGAGATTTTAAAGAGAAAACCTAAGGGAGACGGCCCAGGAGTGTTTCCTATGGTTGATGTATTTAATAGAAGGGGGGCAGGGGGCAAACGAAGAGTTTTGTTGTCAAGAAAAGAACATCTAGGGGTGAGTGAGTGGGCCTGCTCAGGTTATTTCTTCCCTCTAGCTCCTAAGAGATGAGAATACAAACTCTGTTATGCTACTGTCAAAAATTATGGGTGACTTCAATAATGATTCTCTGCTTAACCAACTACTAGAAAGCAAAGTTATATAGGACTGTCTTCGAGAAAATTTCAAGCAAACCATGTTTAACCATGTAACAAACCAACATGCATTAATTATAATGTCATTAAAACTTCGACTCAACTCCCCTTAAGAAAGCGCTGTGCTCTTGGATAGCCACTCTAGAGCTGACTCTTAGTTTTTCTAGGTAGTAGTTCCTCCAAACAGGGGGGAAAAAAAAGAAAGTAAGTATCGGGATCCATGTATTCCACTACACTGACTCATTTTGTGTGCAACCATGGGAATAAGGCCCATCTCTAGCATCAACCAACTCCAAGAGTCCATGAGGGCTTGAGGAAAGCTTAACCCTTGCCCAAATACGTACCTTGATCGTTGGCTTGTGATGTCTCTGAGACATTCACCGCAAGCTGGCTGCTGAAAGAGTTCACTCCCATCATGCCAGTGTGCGCTGGAGTGTTGGCAAGGGCAGGAATCTGGTTGTGGTTACGCGGCACACTGTATAACGCTTCGGCGATGTCAGCTGCTCGTTTCAGGATGATCTCCTAGGACAGGGAGGGAACGGGTTCCTTACTCAGCCCCTCTCGTGCTGCTGCTCCATTTAGGAGTCCTGCTACAGGTTCTGAACTGACATCCTATAACTCTGTACGTTGGCCCACGCCAATGGTGAAAATGGCCACCTCCCAGTGCTGAACCAGCCTTCTTCTCCCAATGCCTCCAGGGATGAAGGAAAGTGTGAACTTACTGTTGCTGGGGATTTTTTTTTTTAAACATGAAAACTGACTTCATGGGGATCATGGCCAGAGACTATTACCCCGAGGCTACAAATTCTGCTGTATTCACTCAGCTGCTTGGCTCAGCAAACTTCCTTATGACTCCCCATTAGCCACAGTATATTTTGGACTAAGTTCAAGGTTATGCTCTCTCCTTATGCTGTTGGCACCCTATGCTCAACCATCCTTCCTGCCTAAACTTGTCATATAAAGAAAACTAAGGGGCAGATGAAGGTGAAGGGGTTTCCTTAGTGCTGTCAGGCAGCTTGTGCCAAATGCCCTGCATCAAAGGGTGCCCAAGTGGGAGCCTACAAAAAGCATCAGTGCCTTACCTGGTTGTTGTGGGGCATCCCATACAGGGCTTCCACAAGGTCGGCTGCTCGCTTCAGTAATACTTCCTAAAGGAAAAGTAAACTCTGGTTTATGTCACTGCAAGTGCCCACCAAGGCCTCCTGTTCCTTTCCAGAAGAGGCTGCATATTTATGGTCACATCTGTCAGTGGAAGGGACTGATAAACTGAGCAAACTGGACCCATGCTACCCCTGTGCTATTGTCAGACCTGGGCCAGGTAGGTCACACCGTGACACATGCCTGTGCCTTCAAGTCAAAGTTAGACATGTTGGGTTTTACATCCAGCTGTTGCCTGATGATTGACGAGCCGAGAGGTCTGCTGGGGTGGGGGCAAACACCGCCTG